CTCCGTTGAGAGCTTCTATGACTAAATTGAGTTAAGTGTAAGAATAACAAACTACTTATCAGATCATGAGAGTAAATAAACCAAACCCTTTCTTCTTGCCCTTTACCAGGAATGTATGGAGTATATGTAGCCTCATAAGCCATGATAATCCCATGAATGACATGAGTTGGGTTTAGGGGATAAGAATTATAGGGGATAATGAACATATAGCCAGTTTCATTCAACAAGAGACTTTTTATTCAGGAAATCACAAATTCAGTCAGGTATGGTAGTTCATGCCTATAACTCCAGCCCACCGGAGGTGTAGTGAGAAAGAACAAGAATCCAAATCCAACCTCAGCTTCATGAGGAATTAAGGTCAGCATGGGCTACTGGAAAGCCCATCTCATCAAAAAATAAATCAAATCACTATGGTGATGACTGCTTTTGCTCTTTCTGATCATATAGAGTAAGAAATGCTCACTCCCTATTACTCTATATGTTCTTAGTGTTGATTTGCTTGGATTACACTGCAGCAGTGCCTGGGTGTGCAGTGAGTATCAACAATACCAGACCTGCCCCTGGTCCCTAAATGAGTGATCTCAGATACAATCAGCAGTGACACCCCTGCTTCTCAGAGTTTGTTATGCACATCTCCCCCTGCAGGTTGTGACACTGTGTCACCCAGAGCACAGTAGTACACAGCCGAGTCTGACTGTTGGACCAAGGCTTTCTGCAAGTGGAAGGGACTGGATCCTCCATCACATGTAGCTTCAAGACCTCTGCTGCTTCCCTTCTCGTTGGCCTTCGAGACCCTGACGAGGTGCTATGGACCTTCTCTGGAATACTTCATGTTCCAGAACAGGGCTGAGTACTGTTTGGTTTCATAGGAACATTTCCCAGTAACAGAAGTCCCTTCAGAGAGTGCCACTTGACCTTCTGTCTGTGTCACCAAATCTCCACTGGTTTCTCCTAAAAAGAGAAATTAATGACAACAATTCAGTGTGGGTCAGTTTGGATTCTGTCTCATAGGAAAAATTGTGCTTAAAATTTATGTCAGTATCATAGAATAAGACATAAGCTCCAAGTGTCATTCCAGTTATGAAACATTTACAAGAGTACAATCACTTTCTCATTTGTGTATTTATGTAAGATTGGTTACACTTACAGAAGAAGAAATAATACTGCATTGATCACACATGATTCTTTGCCTCAGTTGTACAAGCAGAATTGCTATGAGGTCACAGCTCTTCTTGCTCCAGCCATTCTCAGTGAGCTCCAGAAAGGAAATCCTTTGGTGACACAGCCTTCTTCCCATGACAGTCTGTCTCAAATTAGCAGAAAAAATGAGGAATGAGAGGCTGCAGACTTGTTTTTTTCTCTTCATTTTTTAATTTAAGTTTGATTCACATGTAAATCAAAGATCCCTACCCCTCTTCTCCTCCCCATTGCTCCACAACAGTTCCCCCAGTCCTCCACCCAATCTCCACTCTGATCCCCAGGGAGGTAAGGAACTCCATGGTGGATCTCTAGTAACTGTTATTTCATCCAGGCTAGGGTCTAGGCCCTCCTTCAAGAGTCCAGACTAAGAGAGCATCCTACATTGTGTGATGGGCACTCTAAGTCTGTTTGTATGCCAGGGATAACTACTACCCAAGGCCCTATAGATTACCTAGCCCTCCTCAATGATCCCCACATTCAGGGGGTCTGGGTCAATCCAAGCCTTTCACACAGCCATAAATCTGGGGTCCAAGAGATCTCCCTGTTCAGGTCAACTGTTTCTGTGGGTCAGACCAGCCCAGTCTCAACTCCTCTTCCTATCAGTTCTCCCTTTCTGACACTGGATTCCAGGAGATCATTTCGAGGCTGCAGACTTGTATGCAGCCCTTGCAACTGCATACGATTGCTCATCCCAATTCCCTCTATAAACTTCAAGTGTTCCTCTCCTTACTTGCAGACCCCCACTTCCACTGAGGGAGTGCCTGTCTTTCACTGTTTGAAGTGGTTTCATCTGTTAAGGTCAGACTCTGGTCTCTTTCCTGCCTTCTGTCTCTTTACTCTGTGCTCCAAATGTAACAAAGTGGCCATGAGCTGGAGTAAGTATGGCATCCTACTTACCCTTCCAGTTTCTATGGCAACACAATTCTGATCATGATCACTTAATAGGAAGAGGATTTATTTGACCTAACACTGTCAGGTTACAGACCATCACAGCATGGAAGTAACAGCAACAGAAGCCTTAGTTAAGTTGTCTTATCACATCCACCATCAGGAAGAAAGAGCACAGAATGCTTCCATGCCATGATGTACTCACTGTCTCCATTTCACTCAGTGGGCAGGACGTCTCTGGAAAAAGTGTCCATGGTCAGGCTGCTTCCCCTTACAGTGATTATCTAAAACTGCCACAGAGGCTCACAGGCCAGCGTAATCCAGATGAGTCCTTATTGAGATTCTCTTCATGGTGATTCTGCCCTGATCAAGTTGACTGACATCACAGATGGACAGTGCATCTGAGGCTCTTGAGGAGGTGAGTGCAGCAGTTACACTTCCTAACACAACCTGCAGTCTGAGGCAGGAAGAAGCCCACACATCTCCCCATAGTGCACACTACATAGGCATACACTGCAGTCATTGTTTATGTGGAACTGAGATGTATCTTCAAGTCTCCTGGAGACAACCAGTCATTAGAAAACATCAGGGAAGTCTACAAAACAGCCATTAGGGAAGCAAGCATTTCTCAGGAATCATTGCATGATTTTAGCCTGCTATGTTAATTTTCCTGGAAGCTGTGAGCAAATGTCTCTATACTATAGATAGAAGACCAATGACAGACCAAAGTAGTGATTGCAGAGAAGTCCATCGAGGAGAACTAATAATTTTATTTAGGTTTCTTACAGGAGCATGGATGATCAAAAGTCACTCAGCTATAGTCCTCTCCAGCATCTTACAGGTTTGTGTTCGGCTCCCCCTGCAGCCCCAGACACTGTACCCCCAGAGCACAAAAGTACACAGCCAAGTTGCTCAGGTGCACAGAGGCTTTCCTCAGGTGGAAGGAAGAGTCACTCTTCTTAAACTCAGCCTCAAAGCCATTCAAGCCATGAACCACGGATTCTCCGGAATAATACTTGAGGATCAATTGAAGGCTGTGATCATGGCACTGCATGTACCAGAAGAGGTTAGTAGTTCCACCATAGGAATAGTTGCATCTGAGCTCCACTGAGTCTCCTTCGAAGACGGTGACAAGGGCATCACCCTGGGACACTGACTGTGCTTGGATGTGTCCTGCAAAATCTATGATAAAGCAATAAATGTGATGCAAACTTGATGGAAAAAGAATGTTATTGCTAAAATTCAAGCGAGAAAATCACTTTTTTGGGGTGCATCTACAAATAATAAGGATGTTTAACTCACCAAGGAAAAAATGCATCTCCAGCAACAAGATGAGGACAGGAAGCACGGTTGAGCGCTGCGAAGAATACTTCTGCTGCTTTTCTGGAAAAGTTTGGCACAGACAACGGCACAAAGTTGACTATACACCTTCCTTGTTTAGATAAAATTCTAATATAAAATAACACTGCAGAAGTGGTCCTGGTCCTGGGAAGTTTCTAACATCTGGCTGTCTTTACTTCTTCACTTAACAGATGTTCTAAGAACTCAGCCACATGCACGTAACGCTTACAGACACAGAAGTGGCTACTATGTGCAACATTGCCCTCTTGCGGCCAGTGCAGGATAAAGACTGAAGCAAATCTATGTGTTCTCTTTATCTAGAGCACACCTCATGTTTCTAAGCTAATCTGTACTGTGTTGACTCCTAACCTAATGAAAAATAGGCCATGCAAAGTGGAAGAGTAATTTTCTTTCGAAAAAGAGATCATATAATAAAACTAGCAAATTTGGAGGTCATTACCATTTGAATATAAAAGCATAAGTTGCAAGCAGTCCTGCTATCTGAAATAGGCAAAACCGGGAAACTGAATTTTTTTAAATTTATTTTTCAGTTTAAATTTAGATAAGAAACAAGGTTGCTTCACAAGTAAGTTCCAGGCCCCTATCCCTTTCCCTCCCCTCCTCCCAGGCCCTCTCCCCAACCCCCCCATCATCACCTCATTTCCCCAGCGAGGGTGAGGCCCTCCATGGGGGTGTCCATAGTCTGTCATTTCATATCGGGCAGGGCCTAGACGCTTCCCAAGAGTTCAGGGTGAGAGTGCACCTCACATTGTTGGATGGGAGTCCAAAGTCCGTGTGTATACTCGGGATGGGTACTGATCTGCTGCCCAAGGCTCCATAGATTACCTAGGCCTCCTCACTGACACTCACTTTCAGGGGGTCTTGATCAGTCCCATGCTGGATTCCCAGGCTGATGCCTGGGATTCAAGTGTTAACCTTTGTCAGGTCAACTGTTTCTGGGGGTTAAACCAGCCCAGTCTTAATCCCTTTGGTCATCAGTCCTCCCTCTGTGTTACTGGCTTTCTTGAGTTCAGCTCAGTATATAACCCAGGGATTCTGCCTCTTCTTCTATCACGCGGGAGGCCGGGGCGCGGCAGGGGCGCCGCGGGGACAGTAGCCCCCCAAACTTTGGCAAGTTGCGGGCTGCGGCGCTGGGCAGGACGCGGCCCCGGGAGGAGCCGCCGCTCTACGCTGCCGCCACCTCCTGGTCCCGACCGGCCCCAGCATCGGCTGGGCTCAAAGTTTGCGGCCGCCCCTGCACCGCGCGCCCGATGGATGGGTGATATACTGCGGCAGCGGCAGTGTGAGGGACGGCCATATTTGCCGGCGCTGCCCGAGCCAGCGACAACAAAAAGTGCGCGGCGCGGGCGCCCGGTGGGCGCTCGGACGGGCGCGGGGACGTGGGGCCACCCGACCCGGGCCTCGTCCTCGCCGCCTCCGCCGCCGCGCTTGCGGCCTGGCCCGGCGAGCCCGCCACCCGCGGGATGTCTTACAAGCCGAACTTGACTGCACACTTGCCCGCTGCCGCCCTCAACGCTGGAAGTGTCCATTCACCATCGCCATCTACTAGCATGGCGACATCCTCCGAATATCGCCAGCTGCTGAGTGACTACGGGCCACCGTCACAAGGCTACACCCAGGGAAACTGAATCTTTAAAGTGTTTTTTATTGAATACAGGAAGCCAGGGGAAAAATCTGCCTTCCAACCATTTTCTCCTTAGTATTTTTGTAGCGATCTAGAAGAACAGAAATCAATTTGAAGTTCAGTTTAATCTTCTGGCCAGATGGTTCTTGAATCTGAGATGTCCTTTCCATTTTCCTCCTTTCCCAGTCTCTCTCTCCCTGTCCCCCATTCCTCCATCACCTCTCTGCCCCCACCCTTGCTTAACTCAGAACAAACAAATCTTTAGCAGCATGCTTGCTGCAGATTCCTTCTTACAGAAGAAGTTCACAGTGCTCTTGTAACTCATATGTAGAGCCCTCTCACCGTGCCCCAACCACAGCCATTACTTTTGCAAACACACTGAGGTCAAATGCCCTTGCCTGGACTTTATAAGCCTTTGCTGGCAGTGAACATTCAATCAAGGAACATTCCGCTAGCATATAAAGATAATGACTTTGGTGAAATGAAAGAAAAGAAAAAGACACGTAGAAACTAGTAGTCTAAATGTGAATCCTTGCCTTTAAAAATGAAACCAATTCATCAATTTCAAGTAGAATTGTGAAGATTCGGTAACTTTAGATAAGCAGTAATCATAGCAATATGGAGAAAAGACAGAAAAATACCATCATCACTCAGGTTTGATAATCATGGAATGACACACCATCAAAAAAATAGCCTGGAATGTCTGCAGATGGAACTAGGGTGACTAATGGAGGTGCTTATCTCACACACACACACACACACACACACACACACACACACACACACACCTTGAAAGAATTAAAGAAAATTTCCATGAAACATGGACTCCTAAGGGGGAGCAGCAATGAAGCACAGCACAGAGAAACAGAAACCATGAGAACTTCTTGACCTAGACACACTAGTATCCACCAGTTTTAAGTGGGTGGATGTTGGGTAGGCTAATAAAGGTAGTGTTTACTGTGACCAATAGCCATGCCATTCTGAAGGAGAAGATTTTCTTCCCCCTTCACCTTTAAGACATTTGGGGCTAAAAGAAGATTAGATGTTAAGTCAAAACCAGTGGAGCTGTGAGATAGAGGAGTGATTTTACAATGAATAAAGGGTCCCTGGTCCAGAGGAGATGATATTCTCTGTGTATGCACTTAATAAGAGAGTCATAAAATGCATGGAGCAAAAGCTGAGAACATTAAAATAAGGTAAATCTACAATCAGAGTTGTAAAGTGCAATGCTCACTTCCTAGTAGCTAATATGAGAAGATAAAAAATGGCCTAGATTAGAGCAACTGATTCGACCAAATTGACTCCTGTACTGCCATTACACTCGCCAATGCAGTGGAAGTTTTATCGGTGGACAAGCAGTGTTCTCTTAGACAGTTCATACAGTCAGGGAGTTCAAACTACAGCAGTGAACCTGTAGGGATTGAATCTACATGATTTATTTGCTGGCCAAAAAATAATGTAGAAGTTACATAACAAATGGCAGAATACCGCCAAGTGTTTGGAAATTAATTAGCACATTTCAAGTAACCCATTGATACTGATAAGGGTAGAGATAAAATAAAACATTAGAAACTATTGTGAACTAAATTTTGGTAGAGCAAAGGCTACAGATATATTTTGGGTGTAGCTAATACAGTATGTAGATGGAGACAGGTCAGGTTTCAGTAGAGAAGGAAAAGGTCAAACAATCAGTGGACATCCACCACGAGAGTCATGATTTTTCCAATTCATTTTTACTTAAATACTTTATTTAATATTCCTTGATGAGAATACTATGATTGATCCAATCCACTACCAATTATTCCTCAAAGCCTCCTACCTACTTTTTCCTTTCCAACTCCATGTGCTATCTGTGTGTTTGTATGTTTGCTGGTTTTAAAGCAGCACCCAATGAGTTCATCTAGTGCTTGTTCCCTGTATGTGCATAGTGTGGTACCATCCCACTGGATAACTTCTTAGGACCCACATCCCCGAAGAAAAGAGATTCTTTCTCTTCCTTTGCAATTATTGAATTAAATATGTGAAAAGAATTCCTTGAAACATAAAATTATCTATTATTAATGCAAGTTTATTCTTTCTTTATGCTTGGTATTAGCATGGTCTATAGATATTTCCTTCCTTCATTTTTCAGTCTGTATTTGTCAGTAAAAAGCCATTTTTTTTAAAAAATGGTGTGAGTTTCATGGTGGGGTTATAGTCTTACTTTATTGTCCCGCGCTACCATCTCGCCAGCAAGAACGACGCAGAACACTCGGATCCTTCTGCAGTAAAGCTTTAATGCATCTTGAGAGATAGATGATCAGCTTCTTAGAGGGAGACCCCAAGCTAAGAAACCCAGCCCCTTATATAAGCCTAGGAGCTCCGAGTGAGACGTGTAGAGCCGGGATTGGTGGTTTGCACATCACCCCAGATGACGCCACGGGAGAGGCACAGCTTAAACGGTTAACTCCAACTGACAGCAGATGTCAGCGCCATCTTCTAACGGTTAACTCCAACTGACAGCAGATGTCAGCGCCATCTTCTAATGGCAATAGCGATAGCGAGGGCGGCTCCTCACATCTCCCCCTATTCATTTATTTTTGAAGCAATAGGACACCCACAACTTTGGAGTGGAGATAGAGGTCAAATCCCCATGTGCAAATTCGGAACATGTACAAAGCTCCTCTCCAGGGTCTTATCCCCAGAGAGAGCCCTGACCAGTCCGATGTCGTTTTTCTGGGGGAAGGAGATCATGACATAGAACCTTCATGCAAGATGACTTATCTCCCAGGAGAAAGTCGTTATACCGCAGACCTCTCCTGTGCAGTGCTTAGCCTTGCAACTCCTTGGGCTGCTGAAGCCTACCCACTCTATCCCGTGCAATGAGACTAGCCTCGTGGGGTGCAAGAGCTGGGAGGCCAGCGACCTATTGCTTTAACATGGTTAACCAAATGTCAGGGGAGGCTCCGTGTTCTAAGGCAGCAAGTGCTTGTGCCACCACCACTTTGTCTCTTTTGTTTGGGCTCTGAGCTTACACACCATCCAAAGCATCAACACTATTCCACAGCAGAGAACTAGGCTAAATGATCCTACCCCCACCCATTCCTTAAAATAAGAAAATGCAGATGAAATCCAGGAGGAGAGGCCTTCCATCAGAGAAAGATCCAGATGCGTCGAATTCACTTGCAGGATCGCCATTCTCAACTCACGGAGTGTCTGCTCAAACTCAAAAGTCCAATTCTGTAATAAATGTTGAGACAGAGCTTGTGACAGGTTAGCTGCTCTTGTAAAATTCTCATATTGTACTGAAGTGACACAAAGGCCAGGCAACTTTTGTTCACATCCCAATTGGGCCATCTGCCACAATATATCCAATTGTTCCTGAACCAAATTAATCTGTTGGTTTACCAACATCAGGCCTCCTTGTATCTGAGAATTGGCAGTGGCCTGTTTATCTAGGACCATGGTCACAGTGGCCTATAGTTCATTAATGGTTTGAGTTGTCTGCACAGTGGCAGAAAGTGCAAGGGCCAGGCGGTAACCGAAGCAGTAACCGCGGCGGTGGCTATCAGGCCCACAATAATAGCAGAGATCCCAAAAATCTCGCTTTTCCCTAAACAAACTCAAATTACTTGGCGTCTCAACAGGAACTGGAACAAATCGAGGCATGCGCATTACCAAAGCAAAAGGGTGCTTAATAGCATCCCAGCATAATGCATAAAAACAATTCTAAGCAGAGCAATTTATTTCTTTCTGATTCTTACCTAAGGTATCATTACTCACAACCCAAATAAAGGGCAGCTGAATAATTAGTTCTCTTAAAAGGGTATACTTAACATTGGAGGAGGACCAATCAGATGATCCATAGCTCTGTCCCTCACTCAGACTGTTGCCTAATGCCCCTTTCCAATCAAAAGTAATCTGTCCCTTCTCACTATCATAGGAGAAAGATCAGTACAGCTTCCATTAATTCAAAAGGATTAGCATTAGATCTTTCTGGATCCATATGAATAAAATTATCCTTTAATGAAGAAATCACAGTAAAGCACAAGCTTCCTACTAATGACAAGGTTCTCTCATCCTGAAAACTCTGTATCTGAGGATCTAAAGGCAAAAAGGCAAGCCCCAACTCTCTATTAGTTGTGAAAAATCTAGGGAACACCTGGGCATTCTGCATCACTGGCATCGGTAGGGGAAGGTAGACATGATGGCCCACCGTAACTCTCCCATCATACTAGGAACCATCATCCCGAGTAGGAGAGTCTTCATCACCCACTTGGCCTCCATCCTTCTTATTCTGGAGTTGTGAAGGAGCTCTTCGAGTGAGTCTTTCAGGGATCCACAGGGGGTTTTCTTCCTCCTGTGGAAAAACACACACAGCTCCCCTGGATCTTATAAGAATAGGATCCGGGCCTTTCCAGAGATCAGTCAAGACATCTTTCCATTTTACCATTTCTTTTGGCCTATCAGGCTCTAAACTGTGGCGATCGGCCGCAGTGTGGCCTTGGGCATCAGAGTTCAAGAAATTAAGGGTAAAAAGTGCCATGGATACAGCAACTCTTGGTACCGAGGGTAGAACATCCTCAATACTCCCCTTTTGTTTAATCAGATATGATTTGAGTGTACGATGGGCACGTTCCACAATGCCCTGTCCTTGAGGGTTATAAGGTAGGCCAGTTAGATGGGTAACATCCATTTGCCGACAAAACTGTCGGAATTTTTGAGAGGTATATGCTGGTCCATTGTCTGTTTTTAAAATTCTGGGTTTTCCCCAAGCACTCCAGGCCTCAAGGCAATGTTGAATCACATATGAGGCCTTTTCCCCTGTTAGGGGTGTGGCGAACATTACGCCAGAACAGGTGTCAACAGAAACATGAACATATTGAAGCCTTCCAAAAGAGGGAATATGAGTAACATCCATCTGCCACATCTGCAATGGTCTAATGCCACGTGGGTTTATTCCCATGTGGGGAGTAGGTAAGAATTCGCAGCAATTC